CCCGCATGCTTGCCTGGTGGATAGGCGTCGGCCTTCCGCCTTTGTCTGGGCGCGCGCTCCGAAACGGTGGAAGAGGGTGTGGCGAGGAGGATGGGGAAGTGCCGAGGTGACGGGGCAGGAGGTCGTGTCTTCGGCCTTCCGCCTCTGCATGGGTTCGCGTTCCATTAGGGGGGAAAAGGGTGTGGCGAGGAGGACGAGGAAGGAGGAGGTGTCGGGGGGAGGAGGCTGCAGTGCGGTCCACTTTGTGGTAACCGTTTCGCCTGGAACTTTTTATATATCGGTCCAGTTCACGTGGTTTTTGCGGTGCACGTGCTGAGGGATGGCGTGTTGCCACCATTCTGCATCCGCGTCGCAACATTGTGGAAACTATGACACTCTTTGTAGAGGGCAGCTCTGTGTAGCCGGTTTGAGATGGCTGCCACAGTTTGAAGAATTGACGACGAGGCTGCAGCCGTAGAGCAAGACTCTTGCACAGTTGCTAGCAGTCATCGTCGCATTATGTTGTACTGCAGTGCGCTGTCTCGCGCCGCTGGCCAACTCTGACTCTTCCGATCCGGTGTCGAGGTGCCCAGGCCGCGCTACGTTGTTTCAGGCCCGTCACCCAGGCTCGTGACCCCCGTCTGCCTGCGATGAAAAAAGCTGCCTGCAAGGCGCGCACGGGCGAAGGAGTATGAGGGCGAGGGTGAGGATGGGACGGGGGCGAGGAGAATGACGAGGACGAGGGCGAGGATGGATGGACATGAGGATAACGGTGAGGAGAAAGAGCAGGACGACGATCAGTACTTGGAGCGACCAATGACTGGCCGTTCGTTCTGTGGTTGATCTGAGGTTCCTGCCTGCCAGAGATGCGGCGTGCTGCCTCCCTCGATCCTCGACCCTCCTCTCGCCAGGGGCCCCAGGTGGTGGAGCCTTGCCGGGGGCCTCCCGCTCGAGGCCGCCGGGCTCGGGAGTCGTCCGGCCCTCTCTCTCTCCCGGGAGCGGTGCCGGGAGGGCTCGGTGGGGAGCCGACGCTCCCCGTGCGGCAGGGGTGTGGACGACGTGGGCTCCTCGAGGGCGCAAAACAGATCCCCATCCGCGGCCTCGCGGGCCAGGGCCCCTGGGCCGGAGCCTCGCGGGTGCGGGGAGGTCTTTCGCGGACGCCCCTCGCGGAACGTACGTCACCGTGCGGCCGCGTATCCGCGGGATCGCTCCCTGGCGAAAGCGCCGACACCGACATGTGCGCCGCTCGTGGGTTCCACTGAAGTGCCCTCGAGTGATGGGGGTGAGGATGGGTAATGCGCTGGGGACAGGGCGGGTGGCAACTGGGGGAAGCGAAGGTGAACGGGGGCTGAAGAGAGGCGAGCCTCTCCAGCACCTTCCGGGGCCGCGGCGGCAAGTTTCAGAGCCCCACGGGGCCCCTTCAGAAGTGGAGTGGTCAAGTTTGATCCCCCTGAGCTTCCCAGTCGCACCGCGGCGGCCCTGCGGGGTCTTACCGGGGCGTCCTCTAGCACGCCCACGCTCCGCACGAGGGAGTGCAGGGCAGCAGAGACGACGAACGAGTTGTGGAGCGAGTCGTTGCGCGTGGGCTTCCCGCAGTGCACTATCTCGGCGTGCAGCTGACTTAAGAGGCAAGCACGCCCGAACGTGTCTCGACAAAACTGTTCAGCATCAACATCTCAACCGTCTGAAGTCACATGGGAGGCAGCCATCACAGAGGATCTGGAGGAGGGAAGCAAACAGTGCGAGGTTACCTGAAGCACCAACACTGCAGATGCCATATACCGAGAAAAAGGAGGTGCAACATGCCTAGCCTGGAACTCTGGAAGAATATTCGAAACCTGGGGGTTCCACTCTGCGGCGTGAGCGGTACGCTCGGGATGGTGATGGGCTCGCCATGCCGACGCCGTTGGACGCCCTTGTGGCCACCAAGCATGTGACCGCGCATCCCCCACCCAAAGAGCCTGCAGCCCCTGGCGTGTAGCCTCAACTCTGGGCACCGCGAAGTGGAACGCCCGCGCGAAGCCAGTGCTTTTTGGAAAAGGAGCACCTGGCTGGAGGCAACGATCCAGCACCATCCATTCCATGCATGAAAGACTGCACAGTCTTAATTGCCTCGATACGCCCGTTTTGAAACGCAATGAGTCCCGTGTTCAAGACGTCCGTGTCAATACGTTGCGTGTTGGCTCCACGTATTGGGCCACGTTTTGGCGAACGTATCGTGTCGGACCTACGTTTTCAGCCTACTTGTTGAGCTCCGTATCCATACGATACGTGGTGCGTGTTGCGTATCGGGGCAGCTAAGAGCACCATCCATTCCATGAAGGACTGCATGGTACTACAGGCATGCCCATGGTGCGAAACGAAAGTGAGCTCGGTGGGGTGCCCGAGTGTGCTGCACGGCGCAGGGCGACCTGCCCATCTTTGCGCCTCCACGACGGCTGCTCTCGGCGAGCTTCGCTCCCGCAGGCTGCAGATGCTCTGACACCGAGCTTCCGGTCAGGTCCTCTTGCGCGCAGCCGCAGAGATCCCACTCAAGATGGCCGGGGCGCAGGCCCCCGCCGAAAGAGAACGCGCCGTTCGAGGCGGCGTCGCGCTGCCCTCCCCCCCGCGGCGCCCGGGACGACATCGGGGGGGCAATCGACGGGGCGAGCACGTCTGGCGAAGCCCTCCCGCCGCCGGCGACCCAGCTCCCTGCGACATCTCATCCTCGGTGCCGCCCTCGGGCACGGACTCCGCGACGGAGGTCTCGACGGAGGCGAGGCTCTCCGTCTCCTCTGGTTTTCACATCGTGACCTAGGCTGCCAGAACACGCCCGCCTCGAATCGCAGCACGGACCGTGTTCAAAGCGTCCGTTTCACACGCTCCGTGTTGGCGCAGCGTGCTGGCCCACGTTTGGGCGAACTCGTCGCGCCAGACGTGCGTTTTCGGTATGCACGTTGGCCTGCGTGTCAACGCGCTACGGGTTATGCGCTGCGCATGGGGCCAGCTAGGATCGTGACACGAGGGAGCTTGGCCTGAGGAGCTCGTGCCTCCTTCTCGGGCGGCGCTGGCCGCTGGCCCCTGACCCCCCCCCTCGAAATCAAGCGCACGGCAGCGCGGCCCGCGGGATCAGACCGTTGTGCTTCGCAGTCGCCACTTTCGGCGCGGACAGCGGCACTCTGGGGTCCTGGGGCGCCGCCGCGTCGCGGGAAAGAACTCGCGCTGGACTCCGAGGAGGGATGTGGCACTCCTCCAGCAGCATGAGCGCCACCTCCTCGGCGGCCAGGGGCGCCCTCGAAAAGCCGCCTCGGGGCTCCAGAGACGGGGGTCACTGCAAACGGGGGTCAGCCAGAGCGCCCGACCTTGCAGGATCCTGCAGGGCCAGGGTCGCACTGGCCCAGGCTCGGGCGCAGGATCCTGCAGGATCTGGCAGGACTCTGCGCATTGGCCTGGGTGTGGGCGCAGCATCTTGCAGGATCTTGCAGGATTCTGCAAGGCTTTACTGACCCGGGTCTGGAGGAGGAGGAGGAGGAGGAGGAGGAGGAGGAGGAGGAGGAGGAGGAGGAGGAGGAGGAGGAGGAGAAGAGAGGAGGAGGAGGAGGAGGAGGGAGGAGGAGGAGGAGGATAAGGAGGGGGAGGAGGAGGAGAGGAGGGAGGGAGGAGGAGGAGGAGGAGGAGGAGGAGGAGGAGGAGGAGGAGGAAAAGAAGGAGGAGGAGAAGGAAGAGGAGGAGGAGGAGGAGGAGGAGGAGGACGAGGAGGAGGAGGAGGAGGAGGAGGAGGAGGAGGAGGAGGAGGATGGATTGACCCGGGTCAGCAGGTCCCCGACGGTCGAGAGTGGAAGAGAGCACCGCCGCGTCCAGGGGCGGGCACCATCGGGGGCCGCCTCCTCCCTCGGTGGCGCTGCTCCTGGCGAGCTGCTGCAGCTCGCTCTCCCGCTTTCGACGGCGGTCCCCTCCCTTTGCTGGCGCGGCTGGCCTCAAGTCGGGCATGTCCCTCTACAGGAGGAGTACTTCAGATCAGTCATGGCGCCAACATCGCAGAGCGGATTTCGCTCGGAAAACAATGGGATGGACCCAGAGTGTCCTGGAGAATTTCGCTCCGGATGTCGAAGTGAATTTCGTGCGGATTTTTTGGGGCCAGGAATGAAGACCAAAATAACACACGCGAAATTCACTTCGTTTTTCGCTCGCCGCGTCGGGCACAACATCCACGCAGAAATCCACGCTGAAATCCGCTGCAGCACGTCTGCAAGGCCGGTGCAATGAGACTCGTACAAAGGAATGTGGTGACGAGTTTTCGTGGTTTGTTTGATTATTTTTGGACCGACGTCTGACTCTTTTGAACATGTCAATCCGCCTGTCGGAGGACATGCCCGACCTAAGGCTGGCCTCCGCGTCGGACACCGCTTGGTCGCCTCCGCCAGCTCTGCTCTCGCCACCTCCAGCCCAGAGGCTGCCTCATCCTTAGCCTGCATTCGGCGGCGAGCGGAGGGGGGGAACTGAGAAGGAGAAGGATTTCGCAGAAGGCGCCATGACTTCTCAGAAGCCCTTCGGCCTTCTGAGAAGTTTTGTGTCCACGGGAAAGGCTTCGAAAACTTCTCGGAAGGCCAGGGGACTCCCGAACCTTCTGAGAAGGCCTGCCCCCTCTCGCTTCCTCCCGGGTTGGCCACTCATTCTTCGCAGCGTCGACCCGACGAGACATGGCGGCGAGCGTGACGGGGAGCAGTTTCTTATCGTACCGTCTGGCTCTCGATGTGTTGCCAAATGAGGGAAGCCTGGGCTGATGCCCAGGACGCAGTCTGGCCTTCGAGCCACTTGTTTTGCTTCTCCAGGCCAGCAGGTTAGTCGCGAAGGTGCTCGTCCGACGGGTCGTCGACCACGATGACGTCAACAGATGGAGCTTTACAAAGGTTCCAGCTTCTGGATCTGCAGCTTGAGGCGTGCTTGCTCCTTAGCTCCCGCAGCCGCTTCTGCATAAGTGCTTCTGGAAGGCTCCGTGGACTTTGAAGGCAAGGCATACGTGGACTTTGCATTCGAAGCAC